AGAAGAACTCGTTCTCGGGATCGCTTCTGAGTAAACGACTTAACCAATCAGAGAACGTTTTACTGCCAGACTTTATTTAAAGTGGGTAGCCTGTCATTCACATATAATTTGCTACTTGTTATGACTACAGACATCAGTTTTGGATTTGGAAAGAGTTCCTTTTGTACCCCACCCCTAACCCTAACTCCAACTCTCATCCCAGCCCCAAAATTAATTTTATATGTCCCACTTAGGTGTAGGTGTCCTTATGATGGCATATACCATTAAATTGGGGAATACTGGAGGGTAAGGTAGAGTTAAGGTTAGGGATGGGGTGAGGTGGTGACAAGAAACTCTTTTCGTAGATTTATTCTTATTATGACACAACCCTTTAAATATTGCCAGGACCAATTATAAACAAGGAATTAAGATTTTGTTAACCAAATTAACTCTAACGAAAAAAATCTGTTTTGTCTTCTACTGACTTCCTCTTCTGGTCCATCTTTGAGAATATGAATATGGAAAGTTGGGAAACTACTGCAACAAACTTCAAAATAAAATTTTCTTCAACACTGTCCTTATCTATCATATGATCAAAACGAATCAGAATACATCAGTTTTCAAATTTGGAGTGCTTAACTTTTTTACCACCGATTCGCCCTTTTCACTGCAAATTCACAAAATAGTCCCATAAATAGTATGCACTTTTCTTCAGAAGATTGGGACAAAAATACTAGTAGCCAAATTTTGAGTAAAAACTGAAAATTGACTCAAATTTTGTCTGTCTCCAAAAATTGGGGTTCATTTCCAGAAAAATTGAAGAATATAAGAAAAAAGTGCAGACAAATTTGAGCAAGAAAGTCTGATGGTAAAAAGGTTAATTTGGCATTCTTGACCTATTGACCTATCGATGATTAGCAGCTAAGTAGGTACACAGTATATCCTGTAATTTGATTAAAAGATGTGCCATCCTTCATCAGCCAGTAAGTGGACTGCTTGGTGACTCATCACAGTATTGCAGGGCTGCACATGTTTTCCCACAACAATCTGTCATTGGACGGTTAGGAGATTATATCTGAGCAGAAAACAAACACAACAAACGGTCAGCAGCACACTGTGAGTGTGATGTACACACTAATCATGAATGCTTACTGAAATACAATTTTAGTGCCTTCATTTGCATTCAGTTTGTTTGGATATGATTTGATAATAGTTTTATGTTTGAATGTCTGAATTATAGAAATTTTTTTACAGTTTGAATATAAGTTAGAGACACAATCCTGTCAGAGAAATCAACATGAATTTTTTATCTGTAGCCAGTTATTATAATCATTGTTGTGTGCATGTTATGTGGGTAGCTGTGACATTTGCTGGGGCCCTCTAGAGTCTAAATTTGACCATGTTATACGTGAATGATTAGCTTTCTACTGGCAAAGATTGTAAGCACCTAATATGTGAGTACTGCTATGTTTTGGGTTTCATTAATAAAAATTAATAAAAAGGAGCATCATCATCAACCACTATCTCCATCCACGGCAGAATGCGCACTAACACAATAGTTTCTTCAGGGAAATTATATCGAGACCTGTACATGCTGTGACATTATCCCTCCATCTCTTAGGTTGCCAAACCTTGTTTCTTTTTCTGTCAGTCATGCCTTCCAAACATAGTCTATTCGTTTAGTCTGGCCAAACAGTTTGAGAACTTTACTTTAATAATCTTTATAGAATGTGGCAATGTTTTTCTTCATTTATATTTTTGTGGTGAAGTCACACATTCTCACTGATAACTGGAGACTGACTAGCTTATGTGTAAGAGTTGTAAAAAATTACTCATTCTGGATCAATCCATTTGTGCGTCAGGTTAGACAATGGAATTTGCTTCAACCAAAATGTGTCTCAAAAAACTACATTCTTTTAGTGAATAAGATTTCTTAATTCTTTCTTGATATGCTGAGCTATAAATAAACAGTTTTTTTATTTGATTTTTTAGATGACATCCTTGTTGGTGTTTGTATGACGAGTGAGTCATACAGTTGTAATGATGGAAGAAGTGACACCATGTTGGGTTTTACTGTCATCAATCCATTCACAACAACACTGGCCTATCTTAGATGTCAGATGATACAACAGTTAGAAGCGCTTCCCACTGACTATAAATTCCTTACCTGTAGAGGGTGAGTCTTCAGCTTTTGCAGAATATTTATTTAAATATAACATACACTTTTATTTGAACATACTTTGGTAAGCAGCAAAGTCTTATACTTGCTTTAAATTTATTGAACCAACCTGCAAAGTGTTGCATTGAATTTGCATATTAAAATTATGTGGATGCAACTCAATGTGCATGATCCACAGTTTGAATGAAATCATCCTGTTCATGTCTAAGAAACAATTCTGAATATTATTACATACTCCGATTTCAGGTTTTTAGATAAAAATGGCCATCAATTTGACAAATTTGATTGAATCACAAAATAACACAAACTACTATCTGTTTCTTTTGTGAATTTCTTCATTTGATCTACCGGTAGTATTAATTTTTGATTTCTCAGCTTGCCAATGTCTAGATAGATTAGAATTTATATGTTGGTTCAAATATATATATACCAAAACAAAAACAATCCTACTGTAATTTTTTCTGGTCAGCTGTTTGTCAGTTGACACATTTTACCTCTGTGTTTGCTGACGTCTACAGATTGCAAACTGTTTCTCTAGGTTGTTCATTAATATGTATGTTTTTAATTGTGTGTTTGTAATTTGTTTTGTTCCTGTACTGTTTTGATTTTAAATATCCGATTGCAATTACTTGTTAATTAGTGTTTTTACCTAGTGATGGTTTTCAGCATGGACCAGTAATGTACTTCACAGTGATCTTTTTGGTCTCTGTCTATTACATGCAACACATCACAGTGATTATTCATTATTTTTACCAATAGCAAATTATAATTTTTAATTTCTGAATACTTGATTATGTTTATTTTCAGCTGGCCTGTCAGTGTCAATCAAGAGACAGCACTTTTTGTTAGTCAAGTTATTGATAAAGATGCTATTGTAAAAATAATTACAGATTTCAGTAGGTATTTTTAGTATTTTTTTTTTAAAGCCTTCTTTTCACTATTAAATTTATTTATTTGTATTTTTGACCTACTGGTATTTGAAATGATGTAAGTACATCTATTGTGGATGGGAAAATACTTCAAAATCTACTTCTTGACCCAGAGCTGGTTCTCCTGTTGATCTTTTCATGTCACTTCATAGGTTACTTCATACTTTCATAGAAACACTGTCGCTGTGTTGTTTGCTAAAATGTTATGCAAACCCAAGCATGTTTTTCTGTGTGGAAGTCTGTATAATTTCTGTAACTTTCTTCGTGGTTGTTAATATTCATGTGATTTAATCTTCAGATAAACCAAGAGTAGGCATATGTACAGATGATGGATATTCTATTGGTTTTGTATTTATCAGACATGCATGTAGCGTGTCAAAACTCAGAAATGAAATACTCTCACAGGTCAGTGATCTTATACATGTGTAGAAACCAAAAAGGAATTGTCAAATTTTCTCTATTCTATTCTATTCTATTCTATTCTATTCTATTCTATTCTATTCTATTCTATTCTATTCTATTCTATTCCATTCCATTCCATTCCATTCCATTCCATTCCATTCCATTCCATTCCATTCCATTCTATTCTATTCTATTCTATTCTATTCTATTCTATAGGTTAGCACTTACTGTTCTACAGTACTGTCTGAGCGTTACTTAACATTTACCTCGCTTTTAGCTGAGTAAATTAGTAATATTGGCGAAACTTAGTTTGAATTCATCTTCATTGTGAGTAACTTGACCCAAAATCAAATCTGAAAGTCACAAGTTATACTGATTAAAAGCTGGCTCATTGCACCGTTTAGACTAAGTTATATATTTTAAGTTATAGCAATACAACTTTAAAGTGAGATTAGCTTGATTTCAAAACCACCTCTATGTCAAAGTTGTTAGAATTAATACTTCTGAAACGGTTGGAGGATTTTATAACTACTACTGATTTTCAATTTGGTTTCAAGTCGAACCATTCCACGGACATGTGCGTCTATGTTGTTAAGGAAATTATTGATTTTTATAAATCTCACAATAGTCCTGTGTTTTTATGTTTCATGGATGCGTCGAAGGCCTTTGATCGTGTCAATCATTGGTCCCTTTTTAAAAAGCTTATTGAACATCATGTTCCATTATTTATTGTAAGACTTTTGATGTATTGGTATAATTCTCAGCAATTCTATGTTAAATGGGGTTCTG